CCCATAACTTCAGGTCTTATGCAGTGCTGTCTTAGTTATTATGTAAGCTGTATGTTAGGCATATAAATCTATACTAACTTGTAGGATCCTGTGGGCTACTCCATTTTATGGTCACTGTAAATACATTGAAGAGCCATCGGCAGCCAGATGTGTAACTTTGAACTTAAAGAGTGAAAGCCAGATTCCCAGCTGATGTAACTCTGCTAACAGTAGTAAAATACCCAGTTGCACCCATAGATCTGGCCCTGTATTTTGAACCCAGTTTCTCTTTTCGTCCTTTAATTGCTTCATGATAAAGAGAGATGCCTTTAGCTTGTCAATGTCACTGATACTGTTTCCTGCCTCAGGTGATCTCTACACAGAAGCAGCAGAAGCAGCAATGGAAGCAATGAAGGGCAGACTGGCAAATCAGTACTACCAGAAAGCAGAAGAGGCTTGGGCAATGATGGAAGAATGACACTGCAATTAAGCAGTTCTTGTAGATAAACTTTTTTTAAAAGACTTACTATGTTTGCAGCTAAAAAGATATATTTTTGTGGCGTTAGCAGTTTTTTGTACTTTAGTTTTCTAACTTCTTTTGAAATACAAATGCAGCTGGGATGTAGGTTACTATAGCGTATTTCAGTCAAGTGTTTTAAAGCTGTAGAACAGACACTCTGGACCTTTTATATAGCTATATTTTTAACTGTTAGAACAGAGGAGGCTGATTTTTTTAATTTTTTTAATTTTTTTTTTTTTTTTTTAATGGAAAGTGAAGCCAAAGACTGCTTGGGTTTCACATGTCCTGCTTTATACGCAGCTACTGCTCAGTGTGTTTACATTTTTCTTCTCCTCCCCCACATACAAGATAAATAAACTTTCCTTCATTCACAGCATTTCTTCATTGTTGGTATATCACCCCAAACCTGCATGTGAATGTAAGTGTGCAGTATAAGCACGCAAAGCATGCAGCTCCTCCTAGTAACTAGTCCCATTCTTTCAGTGGGCACTGGTTTATTCTCAAATTAATTTTAGATAGAGTCTTTAGAGTTTGGAGAGGGGTAGGAAAAAAGGCTTCAGAATGACAGTGAGGTTATTCAGAGTGGAATGTGTGTTGTTGCCACCACTGCATGTTTTACCATCAGAAGAACATCAGTGATCCTAAGGAGGTGAGGCATCCAGCTACCTCTCTCATTTTCACACTTTGTACAGTATAACAACCTCACTGTGTAGAATTCTACTGATCTCATGTAGTAGTTTTTGCCCAGTGATTTACAGTAGAATGATCTGCACTATATGGGTAATATATAGTTAATTTTACAGAGACATCTCAGTTCTCAGCAAAGCGAGAACATCTCACTTCAAATGAGAATACCAGTACCAATACCCAGCATTTCCAGAGGGATATTTGTAAAACTTAGGTGATGTTGATTTACCTATATCTATGTATAGAAAATAATTTACCTGGTTTAAATGGCTTTGTGTATTTTTTTCTGCTCTCTTATGGTTCATATAGTAACTTCACATGATGCTTTGATAGATTTGAGCTGACTGATGAAGGATATATGCAAGTATATATGTAAATTTCCAGATTATGTTGGGTAATTTATTCAATACTACCATACGGTACAAAGCTTGTTTTCCATGGTATTAGCACTGGGGAGTTTTCACCTGACTTTTAGCATCATCTCCTGTAGTTTCTAAAAGGCCTCTGTTCTTCAGAAGAGGCCAAAAATGGTTTAATGGTTTTAAGTGTCAGGTTCAGAAAATTGCTGATTATAATGAGAAAACATTATAATCCCCAAACACTTGAATTCCTGAATCTTGTCTGCATAATCTTAAGCCATACATGGTGGTGGTTGCATTATCATGGCACGGAGATTTTTTTTTTCTTCCCCAAATCCAGTATTTTATTCTAAAAACTGCAGTGCTTCACAGAGAACACAGCAGCTCTTGCTGTTTCTTATCTTGGCTAACAGTCATTCTGCAGGAGATTAACACAAAAGCTTTATGGCTTGTTGGTGCAGCAGTCTCCTGAGGATATTTCCTGGGATGGAGAAGGGGCAGCCCTTAGGAATTGCTGAGTGTCTGTAACGCATAGCCAGCCCCACTTTAGCAAAGCTTTTGAGCTTTTATGGGTAGAACTGAACAGGCTGCATGTTGATGCAGTTGATTTCAGTGGAGCTGCTTGCGTGCATATACAAGGACTATTGTAAAATTTAGAAACTGTTCAGGAAAGAAAAGTTCATTCTTCCTTTCCCTAATGAGTGTGCTTGTCGCTGGGCCTCGAAGCTGCGTTCCCCATTTACTCTTTCTGGCAAATGGACTTGAAATTGCTGTTAAACAGTGTTGCTAATAACTGCAACCATCAGTGGATGCTTTAAGTGCCTATCCAAGTTGTGTTTTGAGTGTCTAAAGCCTCTTGGATGTGGCCTTTTTGCTCCTCCATGTTGTTTAATTATTACTTGGCGATGAAAGGCGATTGTGCCATTCATCTCTGAAGGTGGTTGAATAGTGAGTGTTTTGTGCAAAACCTACAGTGAAGGTGTTGTAACCAGTGGAGACAAAAGGTTTTGTTTTCCCTGTAAGGTGTTGGTGCCAAGAGTTTGAGGTTTTCCTTGAGAAGAAAGCATATATGTAACAACCCCACCAACATGCAGGGAGGAGAGATTTTATGCAACCGTCCAAAATATGTAAGTAAAGGACTAGAGTATAATTATTGACACTTTTTGATGTAGTTTAATTTGCTACATTCAGTAATTGCTGACAGTTCTCTGTAGATCTGATACGTAAATGTCCACATAGCTCAGTGAAAAAATAACATGATCAACAATTTGTTTGCCAGTACTTGTTAGTACTGTAGACTGCCTTCAGTCCTAAGGTGGTATCATGTTATTTAGCTGTACAGTAAGGAGGGCTGACAGGAAGTTGAAAATTAAGATCGTTTACAGAAATATGCACAATTTATTCTATGATGTTCTTTTGAAGATAAAGAAAACTGTATTGACAGACTTTCTGAACGATACTGCTCCATGCTGTATTTTTAATCTATTCACAATGAATAAATAAAAATCTGTATTTTTTAAAAATGCGAGAATAAATCTTGAGGCCTGGTGGAATTTATCTGGGCGCAGTGCTTCTGAATGTCAGTGGGAGCACAGCTTGGGTAAGGACAACACGATGGAATCCCTTCTTTGTACAGCAGCCATGCAAATACCAGTTTCTGCATCATTCCCCTCCATCTCGCGTCGTCTGGTTTCGTTCTGACTGGTCACTGAAGTTGTTCTTTTGTCAGTTTTCACAGTAGAGTTCTTAAAATGTTCCAAAGTTCAGTTTTACTCTTAGAAGCTTCCAGAAATCGTGTTGTTTTTTCCTGTTCAATCCCTGCTTTCTCGCACTCCCAACAGTTGGAAATAGCTGGGAGGAAACTACTGGACGTGTGACAAGGAAATTGTTTTCTTCAGGAGAGGTGGAAGGGTGATGTGCTGTTGTCTTTGTGTTGAGTTTCTCTGTAGTGTAATGAGTACACGATAAGAAGAAAGCACTGAACTGCCCCCCTGTTACAGAGACCCATCTTTATTGCTCAATGTTGAGAAAAGAATGGAAATATTTGGCCTGGATGATATGAGGAGAAAGAGTTTTTTGTGACAGGTGCTCATGATGCACTGTCATCCTCAGCATGGCTTGTTCCCTGTTCCCTTCAAGAATAAATTCATAGGAGCCCTTTTAAACTGGAGCCTTTGTATTGCTTTTGCCTTTTTGCTTTTTTGCCCTTGTATTGCTTTAATGGGAAAGGTTTAAACAATGTGGCTATAATAGGTTACACAATATGAAATTGTTCTCCAGTATAACTTGAAAAAGCAGAACAACCAAGCCCTGAGAGGCCTCTTCATTCTTACTAAGATGGAAAATGGTGAAGTTTAGCCCAAAGTCTGGTGCTGGGTAACTGGAGCAGATGGTGGAAAGCACAACAGTTAGAGCTCATGGAGACAGCCAGCACACTAAGAATTCTGTCTGTAACCAGCTGTGGGCTGTGGGACTGACATGAACCTCACTCTTCTCCCTGCAGACCTGCATTCCCTTCTGAGAGCAGCAGGACAGCCAAGACACACGTAGTGTAGGTGAGCTGAGCTGAACCGGGACTTCTCACCTGTGTTGTAAAAGGGAGGATTTGGCTCCAGCCCTTGACTGCATTGCAGCGGTGTGTCGGGCTGGGTGCAGGGTAAGCACAGAGATCCACCCTTGGAGAACAGAACACTGTGCGGCCAGGCCCCTCGGGCTGGGCATCATTAATACAAGAGGTGGGACCTTGCCTGCCTTGCCCAGCTCCTGTGTCAATATAATGCAAAGCAGTAAAATGACGCAGGTAGCTTGAGTTTTCCAGAAGGTTCACCTTTAATTTGGAAAAAGTCTCATCGTTATCACCTTACAGCGGTGGCGAAGATCCCACGCACACCTCCGTGCATGCGTTCTGCACAGGAGAGGGACCTCGGGGCGGCGCTGAGCAACTTTCAGTCCTCGCACTGCACACAAGAAGAAAAACAGCCCAGTTAACATGAAGTCTGTTTTCTGACTCTTCAAAACTGAGTTTTAGTTTTGCAGCAAAGAACTGAAATGCGTGTCACACTTTGCCGGACTTACAGCCCCAGCTCCCGCAGGCGTCCACGTGGCAGCTCAGCTGTCGCGGTGCCGCCTCGGCTGCGGGCGGGTCGGGCGGACCTGATGCCAGCGCGGAGTCGTGCGGACTCAAACAGGGCGCCGAAGAAACCGGTGCTACCGCGGTAGCGTGGCCGAGCGGTCTAAGGCGCTGGATTAAGGCTCCAGTCTCTTCGGGGGCGTGGGTTCGAATCCCACCGCTGCCAGCAGCTCTTTTTCTCTTTTGCTCCGCCGTTGCTGCAGCGCCCCCTGGCGGCCACGCCACTCCATGCCGATAGAGCATTGTGGGTAGGAGGAGGGCCGCGGCCCCACGTGCCGGCCGCAGTGACACCAACATGGCCGCCGCCTGAGCGCCGCCCGCCGCGCCGCGCACCGCCATCGGGGACCGGCGGCCCCGCCGTCCGCGCGGCGCCTCCGCCAGGTGAGCGGCTGCAGTGCCCTTACTGCCGCTTTCGGGGCCGTGCGGGAGCGGGGTACGGCAAGGGACGGAGGGGGCGCGGCCCGGGCTGCGGGGCTCTGTCCGCACCGTGGGGCGGTGGGAACGGGCGTGGGGCGCCGACAGGAGCCGCCGGGCGGGCTTTAAGGGAGCGGACGGGGGTCCGGCCCGGGCCCGGCGTCTTGGCTCCTCTCGGCGTCGGGCCGGGGTTGCCCGGCGCGGCTCTCCCGGCACGGGAGGCCCCCGGTGCTCCCGCCGGGCGGAGTTCCCTCACGGACGGCCCGGCCCGTGCCCCGTGTGAGGTATCGAAGGGCGGCCGCGCGTGGCGCCTCGTGTCCTCAGCACCGGCGGGAGCTGCGGCGGCGCCGCCTCACGGTGCGCGGGGACCTCCGGATGACTGTGCAAAGCTCCGGCGGGGCACGGCGCGGAATTGGGTCAGCACCGCCGTCATCGCGGACGTGTGGAAGGTGCCCGCGTGCTTTTTGCAGCTCCGTTTTGCAGAATGCCGCGGCGCTGCCTGGGAGGGGTCGGGCCGGAGGGCATCGGGGGCGTCGGGTCGGGGAGCGGGGCTGCTGGCTGCCGGCTGCCCGCCCGCACCGCAGGGACCCGGCGCGTCCTGCGTGAGAAGTGCCGGTGTTGGCGGTTGGGGTCGTAGGGCTGGCCGCCCTAGAGACTCAACCCGAGAGGAAAAGAGTTCGGTTACTCCGTGGCGGTTTTATGCTTTTTTGGCCAGAGTGTTTTTTCTCATTGCAGTGGGAGGGTGGTTACGGCAGCTCAGCCTTGGTGGTGCTGAGAAGATTTGTATCTCCTGCCCTCTTGTGCTCCGAGGTTTAATGACTCACACTGACAACTTGCACTGATGCTGACATGCACAGGAAAGTCCCTTTATAAAGAAAGTGATCTTGCCAAAAGAAAACGTGAAACAAGTGCTCTTGTGGCTGTGCTTGCTACCTCCTAGAGCTTAATTCCATTCTTTTATTCCTGTGGGGTTCGTTTTGTATTTGCCATGCATACATGCAAACTGCAGATGCAGAATTGTGCCTGTGTGCCTTCAGCGGAAGCTTCGTCCTGATCAGAGGATTCCTCACATGAATGTTGTGCACTGTTCTGGCACACACTGCTTCCTGTGGTAGGTCTGTCACTCTGGTACTCCAGTGAAAGCACCTGCAGTCATTCTTTATCCTTAAATGGTGAAAAACAATTTTAATCTTTGTGATCTGATATTTTCTGTAAGTACTGAACTGGATTCCCAAGATCTCATGTAAAATGGAAAGAACAGCATTGGATGAAGGACCAGAAACCAGGTCTTTCAGGTTAGGTTTCTCTTTCTCACCTTGGCCCAGGAAATCTGAATTTCTGTTTGGGAAAGTGTTGTCAGGCAGGAGCAGATTCCCCATCCCCACAAAGGGCTCAGACCCACAGCTCCCACCTCTGGGTCTGCCATGTGCACACCTGCTGAATGTGCTCCCAGTGCCTGCTCTGTTCTGAGTGAAGGCCCCATTTTGTGCCAAGCTGTCTGCATGCTGTACTGTACTGAGCACCTGGGTTGTGCAGAGCTGGAGCTGACACATCTCACTGCTTGAAAAGAGCGTGGCCATGGGTGTGCTTCTGGGAACTGCAGAGTGCCCAGTGGTTGTCGAGCTCAGTGACACACTTCTTGGATAACTGTGTGTTGATGATTTGAGAAAACCATGTGTGTGTTGAAATATACTGGAATGGTTAAGAGGTGAATTGTGTACTTGAAAAAAAGTCAGCACAGTTGGGGATGTAGCATGGATGCTTCTGCCTCTCACAGACCTCTGTCGCTGGCTCCTTTCTGTAGGAAGCCCAGCAAAGAGGGGAGTGTGAGTCACTGGTGAGGGTAAGATCTGTTGAGGCAAGTTCTGTTGTTCTCATTGTTTTGAAGGGTCTGAGGGAAACAGAGGAGTGTCTTAGAGCTGCCGACCTGTGTGAGCAGTAGGTCTGTGCTCAGCCGTGGGCTGTAGGCAGGGTCAGCACAGTGCAAGTGTAAATGCTGTCTGGTCCTGAGCACAGGGCTGACACAGGCTTTTTGCTTCTCCTGGCTCTTAAACCAGAAGCTTTCTCCATTTCTACTTTCAAGGAAATTTCTCTGGGAAGGGAAGAAGGCTGGTGAGCTGCATGGCACCATCCTTAGTGACTGTGACAAGTGCTGTGGTTCTTTCAGAGCTGGGGCATGCTGTCTGCAAACCAGCTGCTGCTGGGGTGCAGTAGTCACACAGGTATAAAGCGTGTGCTGCACACAAGTTCTGAAGGCCTGTCCTTCCCTCTGCAGAGCTCTGCTGTAGTGCTCTCTCTTTCATTAAAGGTGCGGGAACTTAATTACCTTCGAGACTCTTGTTTGTTTTTGGAGTTGATGGCAGCTGGTAGAGGTGGTGAGGTGCGAGGGGCCGTGTTGTGCCAACATGAGCACTCCTTCACAGCACACACTGAGTGCATTGCCTCTGAAAAGAAAGCGGTGTACTTGAGCAAATAGTCTGGGCTCCATGTGGTACGTGGCACAGATGTAGTGACTCATATGACATATCTGTTTTCTTTCAGATTGTGCCAAGGAGTAAGCCAGCTTTTTGTATCCTAGCATGGCAAATGAAGAAGATGATCCAATTATACAAGAGGTAAAAGTGCTTTGTGGCAGCTGAGGTTCTATGTGCAGATTTTTTTGTGCTATTCAACTTCTGTTCTATTGTTCTCATTATAATTTTGATGAATTCATATCTTGCTATACATGAAGCTGAAATGGTTTACACCTTCTGCTAAAAACAAACAGTTCTACTCCAGTTCTGGACTTCCTTAAGGATCTGTTCCATCCCAAGCAGTAGCCCAGTGTCCCATGCGCTTTATGTATGAATTCAAGCACCAGAGGTGTGAGCAAGGGCAAGCTTGTGGGGTTTGACAGAAGTGTCTCAGAAGGTACCTAAGATGGAAATGTCTCTGTGTGATCGTTGTGACACATCTGTGGATTTTAGGAGTTGGTGGCAAAGTGCTTGTATTAAATCCTATGTGGTGTCTGGGTGTGTTTTGTCTAGCTTAGAAAGTTTTCATGGCAAAAAAGCAGCGAGGAAGTTAACTTTCAGTCTTGCTGCCAAAGAGAGAACACCCTCTTCTTTTCAGATTGTGATGATAGATACACTTCAGCCACACAGACAAAAAAATTTCTTGTTTCATTTCAGAGACAAAAATATGCAGCACTGTCTCCTGCCTCATCATAGTTGTGCTGTTTTTTCTTCCCTAAGAGGCCAGCTGCTATATTACAAGTCAAAATCAGCAGATGAGACCTTTATCAAGAGTCATGAGTGAGCCTCATATGCAATTCATAATTAGAAGCAAAAATTGACGGTATTAGAGCTCTAGGGATTGTACTTAGGTCTGAGGATCCATCCAACATAGCTGTTAACTGATGCAGTTGTTTGTGCTGCTTTTTAGATCGATGTGTTCCTGGCCAGAAGTCTGCTGGAGAAGTTGTATCTGTTTCAGGTATTCCAGTTAGCTTTTATTTAGTGAAAATTTGTTTAAATAAATTGATTGAAGGAGCAATAGCTTTATTTACCTCTTACAGGGAACAGGCAAACCTGCCTGCATCTCAGTTGAAACACCTGGTATTAAGCTGTTTGTAAGAGAGGGGTGATTGTTTATGGCATTGACTTGTCATTAAATCACTGCCTATAGCCACACTCAGGGAATTATTTTAGTAGGCAATATCCTTATTGTGGTTTGGATAAATCTGCAGTCTCTTGGCCATTTTCTGCCAATGGCCAAGTTGATTTTTGTAACTTTACTGAACAAATGTTTATTTAGGACCCGTCCTGTCTAAGACAATGCCATCAGTGTTCATAACCAGTGTGAGTCATCAGAAGAGACCCCTTATGCTGTGGAGATAAAACTGATGAGTGATTAAAGGTGGAAATATGCTTGAAATTTGAAGATCTGTTTTCCATTCTGTTCACTGAATTTCTCTCATCGTTTTATCTTTGTGGTTCACTTTCCCTATCTGCAGAGTGGGAGCTCTTTTGAGGCTGATGGATGAGATATTCATTATAAGCCAGTGGTGCTAACTGGCATAGCCTCCTGTCCAGGTCTTCTGCCCAGCATGTGCAGCTTCATGATGGGTTGCTCTGCATGTTCTGGACAAATGGCAGCTCTGAGCAGGCTGCTGTCTTGCTGGAAGACTTCATCTGGGCACCACACTGTGGTCTCAGCATCCCCAAATAGTTCAGAACAGAGGATCAGGTGACCATATGTGGACCAGATCGTGTAGGCTGATGCTACTGGTGAAAACTCACATGTATTTTACTTCTAGATAAATAAATCTCCAGATAGGTGATATCAGTTAATGGGTTTTTGTGGCTTCTATCACATCCTTTTTCAACTGGATTAATATGTTGTAGGGTTTTCTTGTCTTATAGCACAGTGATGTGTTGGAGGCAGGAAATGGAAAAGAGTGAAGTGACAGGAATGGAGGGCGGAGGGGAAGCCTTTCTAATCAAACTCTGAGATCTGATGACTCACAAGATTAAAAAAGTCGTTTACTGAGATCTTGTAACCATCTGGAAAGTGGCTTTACATGTGAAGGGGCAGGCAGGGTTTAATTAATTTCTGTGGAATTCTGTTGTCTTTAAATTAAGAATTTTTATGAAATCGATGTGTTTTCCAGTATCCAATTCGTCCAGCTTCCATGACATATGATGATGTTACACATTTATCAGCGAAGATAAAACCAAAGCAGCAAAAGGTTGGTCATCATTTGAGTCCAGTCTCTGAAAGTTGTTTTATGCTGTCTGCAATGTGCTTCAGATCATTACACTGTGCTGCTAAGCTGTTGTAAGTGTGCGGCTTGTGGGACCAGATCTCTGTGCTTGGGCTTAAAAGAATGGTTTATTAAGAGAGGAGATAAAGTCACAATGGAAAAAAACAACATAAAAACAGAATCATTCAGGGAAGTCTGGCTACTATTATTCATTCTGTACAAGATTGGTTTAAAAGATTTTCACAATATTTAGAAGAGGGTTGAGGTTTGAAGGCATACTTTGTCTTTTAGAGTCATTGTGTGTCTTGATTCTTCTCTGGCCTGTCTATGAACCATCAGCAGTCCTCTTTGAGAATCAGTGGGGTGGTGAAAGTAGAACCAAAGCCAGAATGGTCACAATTACCTGCAGACGTATTCTAAACCTGTAGCTCTGATTTAAAAATGTCTCATGTTAAAAAATAAAAAAGAACACAAACAGGTCTGTGATAGCAGGATATTTTTCTGGGAAATAGTTGAGGAGAGTGCTTACGTGAAGTTTGGAGTTAGTGTGTATTATGTTATGTTAAGGATTTTTTAAATTAGAATTAGCAAACATTTACGTTTTTTGGCCCAGTGCAGACATAAATCTACCATCACTACCAGGGACTGGTCACCAGTTCAGTTTACAAATAACATGGAGGGGAAAAAAGCGAGGTGATGGCTGTAATTTATAAGTTCAATTGGTGATTCATTTGGAGTTCTGCCCTTGTAATTATTTGTCTTTCCTTCGCATTTTTTAGGTTGAACTGGAAATGGCCATTGACACTTTGAATCCAAACTACTGTCGCAGCAAAGGAGAACAGATTGCTCTCAATGTAGATGGCACTTGCACAGATGAAACAAGTACCTATTCCTCGTAGGTGTCCTTTTGCTTTCCTTCATTTCTGTGGTAGGCAGAGGTATGTGTATGTGCATTAGGCTCATGTCCATCCACACATCTCTTAAATACCTCCAGGAATGAGGGCTCCACCATTTCCTTCTGCAGCCCATTCCAATGCTTTGCAACCCTCTCTATGAAAACAATCTTCCTGATACCCAATCTAAACCTCCCTGGCACAACTTGTTTTGTTGTGACCTGTCACCTGAGAAAAGGCACCAACACCTCCTCGCTGCAGCCTCCTTTCAGGCAGTTGTAGAGAGTGATGATGTTTCTCCTTAGCCTTCTTTTCTCCAGACTAAACAACCCTAATTCCCTCAGTCATTTCTCCTAATGTTGTTCTGTAGTCCCCAGCTTTATTGCTCTTCTCTGCACGTGCTCAGTCAAGTCAGTATCCTTCGTGTAATGAGGGCCTGAAACTGATTGCAGTGCTCAAGGTGTGGCCTCACACCTTTCACTTTCAATCACTTTCCAGTCCTGCTGGCCGCAGTATTTCTGATGCAGACTAGGGTGCCACTGGCCTTCGTGGCCTCGTTAGCTGGCTGCTGACCAGCACAGCACACTCAGGTTCTCTCCTGGACAGATTTCCAGCCACTCTGCCCCAAGGCTGTGCTGCTGCATGGGGTTGTTAATGACCCAGCACTTACCCTTAGTTCATGTCATATAACTGGGCTTGGCCCGTTGATCTAATCTAGGTCCATCTGCAGAGCCTTCCTGACCTCAAGCAGATCAACAGTCTTGCCTTACTTGATGTTGTCTGCAAACTTAGTGGAGTGCACTGGGTGCCCTCACGCAGGTTATCGATTAAAATGTTCAACAAAACTGGCCTTTGTATATAAAGTGTTTGCTGATAGACTATTTTGGGAATTGGTAATTTCAGGCCTTTTAACATCTATGTGCCACATTGCCTGTAGAATATAATCTTACAGCATTCATCTGTTTGCAGGAAGCTGATGGACAAACAAACTTTCTGCTCTTCACAAGCTGCAAGTAATGTTTCCCGCTATGCAGCTGCTGTTTATAGAAAAGGTGACTTTGTTTTGTTACCCCTCACATCAGTGAAACATGTGAATTTCTGGGTTAAATAAGAGCTGTTTGTTCTATGTTTCCACTAGCATAGGCTCATATTTAATTGAAGCTTTTCTAAATAAAGCGAAAGCTTTCCTTATGAGTGTGTCCCTGGAGTCCTTGAGGAGCTCCAGCAAAGTTCTAAATAATATAGCAGGGCACAGCCTCCAAGATCTTAACAGTCCACGATGGCCTGAAACACACATTTACAGTAAAACATTATTTTTCTTACATTGTATTATTATCTCTGTATTATTATACCTCAGCATGGCTGTTTTATTTGCCTGTTCAACACTTCCTGCCCTTCTTTTGTTTCCTACTGTCACTGCAGAGTTTTGATGAGAGGATTGTTGTAGATTGCCTACAGAGATGTCTGTTTCACTAGTAGTCTCCTGACAGATAGGTCAGATCTGAGCCAAAATGGGGCTCTCTGTAGGATCTGGCTCCAGCATTAATCAAGAAGGTAGCACGAGAAGATCTTGATTTTTTCATACTCCTTTGATGTTCTGTGCACTGGGTGAATCACTTAAACCCTTTTTACTGTATTAAATATTTGTGTTCTCTGGAAGCTGTGCTGTTGCAGAGGTAGCAAGGTGATGCAAGTACTGTCTCTGTGCATTAGAAAACAGTACTTTTAACCAATATCAATTCTCTTTTTCAGGTGAACTTCACCTGACTCCACTGCACGGAATTCTTCAGCTGAGGCCAAGTTTCACCTACTTGGACAAAGCTGATGCAAAACACCGCGAAAGAGAAGCTGCTAATGAAGGTAAGTGCTGCATGAGTTGTGTTTCCTTTTGAGAGGTAGGATACAGGTTCTCTGTCTAATTTTATTCAAAGGTGTTTAATATAACAATGAACTGATTATAAAACCATTTCTCAGCCAGTTCTTTTCTCTGATCATACCTTCAGTGCAGTTGCATCAAGATTTTTGTGGAAAGGTGTGGAGGACTGGCAGAGAAATAGGAGACAGTGGGTGGTGTCAAGGGGCAGCCATAGGAAGTGCCACCACAGCCACTGAAAAGCAGCAGTGCCAAATTCATGGGGGCAGTTTCTCCTATTACATGAGTGGTGTGGCACTGTCATATGCTGCATAGTTTAGCAAGCTGTAGTTCCTATTTCTGCTTTCTTCCAGAGTAAGCCTCCAGGCAGGTACTTGTTGGCTCTGGTTGTTTTATTGTAGTGGTGGTTTTATCTTGTTGGCTTTTTTTGGCAGGTGGTGATTCATCCCAGGATGAAGCTGAAGATGACGTTAAGCAAATTACTGTATGTCCAGATTTCCTTTTTGTGGTAGTTCAGGCAACAGTTCACGAGAAAGCATGTCAGTTCATACCCAAATAATTGGACAGGAAACCTCATCTGGTTCTGGTGACCCTGGGCTTGGAAGGGGAAAGGCAGTTGTTGCACAAGAGTAAAGATGGCAACAAGGGTTGATTAATTTGAGCTAGGACCCCTAGCTTCTGTTCTCATTCTGCCAAATAGGTAATGGAGGTGTTTTGTTTCAAGTGTTTGGAGCTGTATTTAATGATGTCGAAACTTCTAGGTACGGTTTTCCCGCCCTGAGACTGAGCAAGCTCGTCAAAGACGTGTTCAGTCCTATGAATTCCTGCAGAAGAGACAAGCAGAAGAGCACTGGGTTCATCTCCATTATTATGGCTTGAAGGTAAGTGTGGGACCTGATGGCTCAGCCAAATTAAATCTGGTATGTGGGAATTGGGAAGTCATCAGAGGACAGTGAAGAAAAGTTGATCTGTAGGCTTGAAATGACCCCACAGTGCTGTGTGCCTCTGCCACCAGATAGTGCTGTGGGATCTCCACACTGGAGAAGCTTTAAAATTGAAAATTGGACAAATTTAAGGCAGGGGGTGTTTAAGTCCAATAGTCACTCAGGTCTTAGCTTTGTAAAACAGTCAGGGAAGCCAGTCACTTAAGTGTCCTGACACAGCTTTCTCTGACACAGCATGCATGTCAGGAGATTTTTGAAGTACATCAACTGAAATGTTTCCACATCATATCTGCATCATTCAAGAAGGCTTACAGTACAGCATCAGTGAGATGGAATGCTTGCATAGCGCAGTAAGGATGGAGCAGTCTCAGTTCAGAATAAGGAGTCTATCTGCAATGTTGTGTTCAGAATGTGTCAGTGATTTGTGCTTTTCTCCGTATCTCCAGGACAGCCGTTCAGAACATGAGCGCCAGTATTTATTCAGCCAAGGTCACGGCCTTGCTGAGAATACAGAATTAATAAAATCTCCCAGGTAAAGGTTTGATGGTTTTCTAGGGAAGGTACAGTAATTTCTTGGGATTGTTTTCAGAGTAATAAGCAAATTTGTTCTTTTAAAATCATACCTTTGATACTGATATCCATGGTAGAAGTGGAATTGTTTAAAAAATAAAGGCAAACTGGTCTTCAACTTCAGTTGCTTTCACTTGAGATTGTAGCCTTGTCTGTGTTATCACAGCCCAGCTTTATTGAGACTGCAGATATTGTAAAGAAGTAAAACAAAAGCTCCTTCTGATTAAAATAAATGAAAACTCTAAAGCCAACGACTTCCATTGTTAGAAACTCTTAGAAAACTTTATTTTGGTGATTTTTAGGAGACACCTGATACTACTTGGAACATGTTTGGTTTTGTTTCTTGCTGACTGCAGCTATAGTACAGGAATCTTCTGTGGTGCAGACAGTAATAACGTTTTGCTGTAAACCGATAGACCATGGCCCGAGTAATAGGAAGGTGGTGGACTGCCTCTCTCCTTAATGGTGTGGGTGTGTTTTTTGTAGCATTTAACATCTCAGTGGAGCAGTGCCAGGTGTGATGAGAAGTCTTTTGGATTTGATTCTTTCCTCTCAGACACTGGCAGTTATGTTGGCAGGTGTAACTGCAGGACTTCGTGTGGCCCCACTTGACTCTGTGTCAAAGTACCACGTTTAACGTTTGCATTCCTGCAGTTCCTCTGTTTGGACACAGAAGAGTACAGAAGAGCAAGGATTCTGACTCCCATCTGTTTCATGCTTTTTCTTTGAATGGATGAATGTCAGTAGCTTTTACTAGCACTGAATTTGTGGAGGAAGATGAGAAAGGAAAGGGGAGGGACTCTTTTTTCAAGCTGGTGTTTGTTTTGTAGATTCTAATAAGTAGGATTGCTTTAAGCAAAAAAATAACTGTACTTAAACTTGGGAAATCTCAAGACAAACATTATGAAATGTGTTTTCTTTTCTTGTAGTGAATATTTAATGATGCTGATGCCTCCAAGTGTAGAGGAAGAGAAGTAAGTGTACAGAATGTTCAACACTGATGTTGTCTGGATGCTCTCTCATAAGCTGGAAACTCACAAAGTTGTTGTTTATTTGCAGTAGCAAACCAGTGGCTCCAAGCAACGTGCTTTCTATGGCCCAGCTGAGAACTTTACCCCTTGCTGATCAGATCAAGATCCTGATGAAGAACGGTTTGTAATCCATTTGCACTTTACTTGTGACTTCTAATTGTCTCAGATAAAATATCTTTCCTATCAGTACCAGTTCTGTCCCTCTTCCAGACAGTGGCTGGATCTCTGATTCTGTGAAGCAGTTAAAAGCTGAGTATTTGCTTGAGAAGGCTGAGAGTGGTCACAGAATCACAGAATCACCCGGGTTGGAAGGGACCTCAAGGATCATGTAGTTCCAACCCCCCTGCCTAGCAGGGCCACCAAACACACACATTCAGATCAGGTTGCCCAGGACCCCGTCCAACCTGGCCTTAAACACATCCAAGGACGGGGCATCCACAACCTCCCTGGGCAGCCCGTTCCAGGGCCTAACCACTCTCCTTGTATAGAACTTCCCCCTAACATCCAACCTAAATCTTCCCTCCTTCAACTTGGATCCATTTCCCCTAGTCCTGCTGTTGTCAGCCCTTTTGAAGAGTTTACTCCCCTCCTGGGTGTAGGTTCCCTTCAGGTATTGATAGGCTGCAATGAGGTCACCCCGCAGCCTTCTCTTCTCCAGGCTGAACAAGCCCAACTCCCTCAGCCTGTCCTCATAGGGGAGGTGCTCCAGCCCCCTGATCATCTTAGTCGCCCTCCTCTGGACCCTTTCCAAAATCTCAATGTCTTTCTTGTACTGAGGGCTCCACACCTGGACACAGTACTCCAGATGGGGCCTCACAAGAGCCGAGTAGAGAGGGACGATCACCTCCCTGTCCCTGCTGACCACCCCTCTCCTGATGGAGCCCAGGATCCCATTTGCCTTTCGAGGTGCCAGAGCGCACTGCTGGCTCATGTTCAGTCTCTCGTCCATCAGGACCCCCAGGTCCTTCTCTGCCGAGCTGCTCTCAAGGACCACTCCTCCCAGCCTGTACGGGTGCCTGGGGTTCTTCCGGCCCAAATGCAAAACCTTGCACTTTGCCGTGTTGAACCTCATTAGGTTCACCCGAGCCCAGCCCTCCAGCCTGTCGAGGTCCCTCTGAATGGCCTCCCTTCCTTCCACCGTATCGACTGCACCACTCAGCTTGGTGTCGTCAGCAAACTTGCTGAGGGTGCACTCAATTCCCTCATCGATGTCATTAATAAAGATGTTAAAGAGCACCGGTCCCAAGACAGACCCTTGGGGGACACCACTTGTTACCGGCCTCCACCTGCACACAGAGCCATTGACCACCACCCTCTGTCTGCGGCCTTTCAACCAATTGCTTATCCATCGGGTCGTCCACCCATCAAATCCACTTCCCTCCAATTTGGAGATGAGGATGTGGTGGGGGACCATGTCAAAGGCCTTGCTCAGGTCCAGGTAAATGACATCGGTCGCCTTCCCTTCGTCCACCAATGCCGTCACTCCATCATAGAAGGCCACAAGAAGAGCAGAAAAAGAGAAGAGCAGTAGGTGGAACTGACAGCTGCTCTCTGTGTTTGCAGTGCTGTCACTCTTAGAATATTTTCTGATCTGATGATAACTTTCAGAATGCATTTATTTCTGCATTATCTCCTGGCGTGTGAAGTCTGAGTATGGCTTAAAAATGGAAAGTTAATGCAACAGGCTGCACTTTGGCATTTTTTTCCCTTGAAAGTTTTCAGTAATACGCTTCTTGAGTGTTACATAAGTTTTATTCTCTCTCTTCAGTTACTCTCTAATGAGAGCAAATCCGAGAAACTTAGGAGCTGTCTTGTCAGCTGTCTCTGTTTCCAAATATTGCCAAAGGATTAGATTTTTTTTTAATCCATGAATTAATTTAGGGCCAGTTAAGCTAATTAACGTTGTTGCAACATGAATGTGTATTTTTTGAGCAGATTCTGACTATGGGTACTAAAATTTAGGTTTTGAATTTTTATTTTCCCCAATTTTGACATAAACATAAATCGCAATATCCTAGAATTGAAACTCCGTTTTTATTTTGCATACTGAGAAAGCCCTTCATCTAATGCCTCTTTTGCCTTTCAGTGAAGGTGATGCCATTTGCAAACCTGATGAGTTTGCTGGGCTCTGGGACAGATTCTACAGCAGTTCTCCGCTGCATACAGCAGGTGGCGATGCTGGTCCAGGGAAACTGGGTGGTGAAGAGGTAGGTATGCCTGTCTTTGTTGCTGAGATGTGGTTTTCTGCTGTAAGAAGAGAATTAGAACAATGGATTTTATGTAGTCCTCTTCACTGTGTGTCTTTGTTCTCAATTGCAGTGCTGTGAGATAATCATTCAACATTCTGTGTTTTGTTCTGCAATAGGATAATAAAAATTCAAGCAGATGATGGCAGATGCCAGCACAGTGGTACCCAGCCCAACTAGAATTGTGGTGGAGCTGTGATGTAATCTGTATTTGCATTTGAGCTGTCAGATATTTGTTGTCTTCACTTGTGTTCTTTTGTGTGGGGACACTCCTAAATCCTTTCAGAGATTGATGTCAAATATAAATGCATACAATGAAACCATCCCAACCGTTAGTGTTTCTTAGCTGAATTCAGTCAGAGAAAGACCTTTGTGCAGTCGCTTTGCTGTTCATCAGTGGATGCTGGTCTTGTCAGCTGAAAGCATTGCCTGCCTTCTAGAAGCTAGCTTTACCTGTCATAAAATGGCACTACCTGTGGTGTACTGACTGTAGCACATGAAATGGATGCTGTGTTGTTCTCCTGTTTATTAGAACAAGGCATCTCACTGGGAGTAAGTCTGAAGAGCAGTGTGATTTTTTTTTTTTTTTTTTTTTTTTT